TCTTTCCTGTTTACCTTTTTATGCTTCTCTTGCGTCTTATATTTATTTATTTTTGCTTTTTGCTAGGCAGTTGGAGTTAAGTGACTTGCCCAAGGTCACACAGCTAGTAAGTATTATGTGTTATGTGTCTGAGACCAGATTTGAACTCAGGTCCTCCCGACTCCAAGGCTGAAGCGCTATTCACTGTGCCACCTAGCTGCTCCTATTGACTCTTGTATTTAAAAATAAAATTTTCTATTTAGCTCTGTTCTTCTCATCAGGAATGCTTGAAAGTCCTCTATTTAATTGACTATCCATTTTACCCCCTGAAAGATTATACTCAGTTTTGCTGAGTAGGTGATTCTTGGTTGTAATCCTAGTTCTTTTGCCCTCCAGAATATCATATTTGAAGCCCTCTGATCCTTTAAAGTAGAAGCTGCTAAATCTTGTGTTATCCTGACTATGGCTCCATGATATTTGAATTGTTTCTTTTTGGCTGCTTGCAGTATTTTCTCCTTGATCTGGAAGGTCTGGAATTTGGTGATGATTGGTGGATTTTTTCAATTTCTATTTTACCTTCTGGTTCTAGAATATCAGGACAGTTTTCCTTCATAATTTCTTGAAAGATGATGTCTAGGCTATTTTATTTATTTATATGTTTTTTGGCAAGACAATTGGGGTTAAGTGACTTGCCCAGGGTCACTTAGCTAGTTAGGCTCTTTTTTTGGATCATGACTTTCAGTTTGTCCAATAATTCTTAAATTATCTCTCCTGGATCTATTTTCCATTGTTTTTCCATGTTCTTCTATTTTTCAATCTTTTGATTTTGTTTGATTGTTTCTTAATGTCTCATAAAGTCATTAGCTTCCACTTGCCCAGTTCTAACTTTTAAGGAATTATTTTCTTTAGTGAACTTTTGTACCTCCTTTTCCATTTGGCCAATTCTACTTTTTCAGGAGTTCTTCTCTTCAGTGAATTTTTGTATATCTTTTTTCATTTGGCCAATTCTGCTTTTCAAGGCATTCTTCTCTTCATTGGATTTTTGTGCCTCTTTTACCATTTAGCCTGTCCTGTTCTTTAAGGTGTTATTTTCTTCAGTATTTTTTTAGTGCCTCCTTTACCAAGCTATTGACTCTTTTCCCCATGATTTTCTTGCATCATTCTCACTTTTCTTCCCTTTACCTCTCTTACTTGATTTTTAAAATTCTTTTTGAGCTCTTCCATGGCTTGAGACCAATTCATATATTTTTTTGAGGCTTTGGATGCAGGAATTTTGATGTTTCTGTCTTCTTCTGAATATGTGTTTTGATCTTCCTTGTCACCATAGTAATTTTATAAATTTCAGAAATTTTTTCTGTTATTTGCTCATTTTCCAGCCTATATCTTGACTTTTAACTCTATGCTAAAGTGGGGCTGTGCTTCCCAAGTGAAGGGGTCACTGTCCCAAGCTTCACGTTTTTTGTGCAGCTGTTTTCAGAGGCAGTTCTGGGGACCTGTAAGTTTTTGGCTTGTCCAAGGTGGTATGATCTAGGGACAGGTGTGTTTACTACTCTCCTGTACTGAGCACTTGTTTGTGAGCTACCACAAGTACTCTTTTCAGCACTGTAACTGTGACCAGGGTCCCTGCTCCCCTTCAGCCACAAACTTTGGTGTGCTAGTGGTTCTTCTTGCACTTGGACTAAGACCCACTACTGTGACCCAGAACCAGGTGCAATGCAACAGAATCCTGCCCCTGGTGCCAGCAAAGGGACCCCTGTAAATTTCCTTCTCACCCATTACCCCATCCCCTTAGTGTCTGTGGGCTGAGAGGTCTGGAAACTGCCAGTGCTGCCACTGATTCATTCCCCAGAGTCCTGCTCCTGGTTTGTGGGGCCTAGTCTGCATTGGCAGGGCCTAGGCTAGACTGAGCTCCTCTCTCACCCTGGTGCAACATACCTTTCCTGACATACCTTCTAAGTTGCCTTGGGCTGGAAAATTGTTTTACTCTGTCCTTTTGTGGATTCTGTCACTCTAGAATTTGTTTAGAGTCATTATTTGGGGGCATTTGGAGGGGTTTGGGGGAGAGCTCAGGTGAGTCCCTGTCTTTACTTCACTATCTTGGTTGTGTCCCCCTGCCATCTTTTCTCCAGCAACCTTGCTGGATCATTACCCTGCCCCTGTCTACTTCCCCCACCCCACGCTTTCTAGTAATCAAATCAACTCTGCCATCACTTCTAGAAAGTGTATGTCAGTCTACTACCTTGTGGCTCAGTGCACTGTCCTCATGATTTTCTAAATCAAAATACTCTTCCTTGGCCCTCTTTCTCCTGTGTGTGTATGGTCTCCCCAATTAGAATGTACGCTCCTTAAAGGCAGGGCCTGTCTTTGTATTTCTAGCTCTTAGTAACAGGCACAAAGTGAATGCTTAATAAATGCTTATTCATTCATTCATTCACTCTACAATGCAGACAAATAGGATTGCTTATTGTTCCTTATATACGGCATCCATCTTAACTGATGCCTGGGAAGAACTTTTTCACCTTTACTTCTTAGAATTCCTAGGTTCCTTCACGCTTAAATGAAAAGCCACCTCCTAGAAGAGTTTTTTCTGATCTCTTGGGTGAGTAGTGGCTTGCCCTATCCCCTCCCAATGAAATTATCTTGGGGACGGAAGGAGCAGGAGGTGACAGTAGGGGAGAGAGGGACAGAGATATGGAGGAGAAAGAGCTGGTTTATTAACTTGCTTTGATAAAACACAAGTCTGTCAACCAATTATCTTGAGTTCCCTGTGTCTCCTTAGTGCCATGTGAGCCATACCCACATTTCATTAGGAGGTGCCCCTTAGGTGCTTCCAAACAAAGAGTTATGCTGTATAATGTCATCGAATTGGCTGGGGAACTCATCAAATTGATCAGGGACTCATTTGACTGAGCAATCTGCCCATCCCTCCTACCACACCCACACTCCCCCCTTCCTCTCCCCATCTCCATCCTCTTACAAACACACACAATATCACACTAACAATTTTTACCAAGCTGCAAAGACTTTCAGTATTTCCCCTTCTTCTTGGGGATTTAGCTTGTTAGTAGATTTTCATAGCTTCCACACCTTCTACAGGACCCTGGCATTATAATTGACATTATGAGGGGCAGCATCTACCCCCTTCTTAACAACAGAATCCTCACAAAGCCAGAAAGAGGGTAGCGTTGCATGTTGATAATGATCCTGTTTGTCTTCTAGGTTAGTGCAGAGAGGCTTCTCCCCAGAAGGTTGGCCACCAGGTGATTTTTTTTTTGTTGCCATAGCAACTCAGGAAGTACTCTCTATTAAGGTGTGTTAGTGAGTTGTGTTAGAGGTGGTGGGGTTACATTCCACACCAGTGGATGGAGTACTCACATCTATGAAATCACAGGTCTTTTGAAGCATTGTTGTTATTATTTGGAGAAGGGTGGTTCCTAGCCAGGGGATGCTTGAGAACAAAGCTCAGTTGCCTCTATATTCTTTAGCTTGTGAGGAAAAATTATATTTCTCCTAATCAATGACTTCAGGAAACTCATTCCAAGTGGCTTAGGACTGACTGGATTTTGCTCCTTTAGCACTTTTGTTTGATCTGACTTTGGATGGTGTTCTCATTGAGTGAAGAAAAGAATAATTTGAAAGTCAATGATTAATATCTATTGATAGTAGAAATGAAGGCTTCTAGAAAAAGATACTTAATTATTTCCAGGTCATTAGCTCACTACTAAATTAGTTGCATTTGAAGGTCCCTGTGTTACATTCTGGTGCTTTCCTTTATGTTTTTGCACCTGGCAAACCATTCTAGACAGTACCAATTTAGAGACAGTAGAGAGGGTTGGTGGTAGGTAGTGAAACCTCAGCTTAGTTCATGTTATCAACTAATAGGGTTCACATAGGGTCAATAAGGTATTTACCAGAATGGGGCCTCATTTTTGCAGGGCTATGTCTAAATATTTCTGAGCCTGTGGCAGGAATGTAATACTTATTGCCATCCATCTCACTTCCATCCATATCGTAAGTCATGAAAATAACATGAGTACTAGCCGATATCAAGGTCTTGCTTTAGGTTTGCTGAGTGCTTTATGCCCCTTACCTCATTTGAGCCTCACAACAGACCCTTGGGGAAGGTACTACAGCTATTAGTTCCATTTTACAGATGAGGAAACTGGTATTGAGGTTGCTCACAATCATAAATACTTCCTTAGCTTGTGGTCAGAATTTCTACAGACATGCGTCATCTGCAAGACTCGCCCAACCCCCCTCCTCCCCCCCCAATATCAGAAAGGCAACATCAATCTTTGTCTTCAATACAAAAGGAACACTACTGGTGTTCAGACCTCACAAAGGGAGGTAGGCATAGCATGTTGGAAACTGTAGACTGCAAATTCCAGCCCTGTGAAAGATAGGGTAGCAGAGGTGGAGGAGTAGGTTTGAGGTTTGCAAGCAGGGACCGGTTAGAGAAATGTAACCTCAAGGGGCTCTCATATTCTGAAGGGGCCCCTGAGGGGCAGACAGGACTCTGACTTCATGAAGACTCCTGTAGAAGTCCAGACTTTAGAGAAAGCCAACAAAGCCCTCATTCTGTGCAGTCTTTCCACCTTCCTAAGGCATTGGCCATTTACATTCTGCTTACCGGGTCCCATTAAAGGGAGCCCCTTTGACAGTTCCCTAGGGGCCTTCAAAGGGGAAGCCAAAGGCAGGGAACAGAAGAGGGTCTTCTGTTTGTGAAAAGATAAAAGCAGCTCATGCTGGAGGCAGGGGAATAGACTGCATGACCCCTCAAGGTCCCTTCAGTTCAAGGATTTTCTGTCATTCTCTGGCAAAACTAGAGGGGGGAAAGGGCCAGGGGAAACCTCCATGCTGCCATGGTAACACGCCGCTGTCTTCCCTCTTCTTGCGCGGGGGCGGGGCCCTGGGGCCAGTTGGCTTATTAGTGGCGGTGCGCACTGAGTGACAGGCGCCCCCAGCCAATGGGCGACGCTAGTAGCGTGACGCGCGACGGGAAGAGGGGCTGGTTGTGGCGGTGGCGGCGGCGGCAGCCTCGGTAGCGGCGGCGGCGTTAGCGGTAGTAGCGGCGACGACTTGCGGGGGGACCGAGCCGCGGCCTGTGCAGCGTGCTGAGACCCTCGCGGCCACCCTCCCGCCGGGATGCCTGGTACTGGCGGGAGAGGAGAAGGAAAGAAAGAAAAACAGAGAGAGGCTGCCGGCTGAGACGGGGAGGGGAGTGGAGGGAGGCCGGGAGGGTGGCTGGCCGAAGGGGGCGGGGTGGCAAGCATGGCGGCCGTGACGGCGAAAGGGCTGGAGGGACCTGGGGAAAGGAGTGGGGGCGGCGGGGTGGTCGCGGGGGGAGGCGGGGCGGGAGGGGAAGGGGCTTTGGCCAAGGAGGGAGGGGAGGGGCCTGGCGGGAGAAGCGAGCTGGGGCCGGGGGCGCCGCCGAGGGGCCTCGGGGGAGGCGGGGTCGGCGCTGGCGGCAGGAGAGAAGCGAAGCGAAGAGAAGAGGGGTCTTCTAGGGAAGGTGAAGGGAGAGGAGCGCCGGCGGGGGGGAGGCAGGCCGAGGGGCGGGGGCTGCGAGGTCCGGGAGGAGGGGGCCTTCGACTCCAGGGAAAATGCCATTTCCACATTGGAGGAAGGCGGGCAGGCGGGCGGGCAGGATCCGCTCCGGAGGGTTTTTTGTCCTTCCCTGGCCTCCTTGAGGCTCCTACCCCGGGAAGAGTTAGATCGGCGGGTAGCACACTGCTCAATCCTCGGCTCTCCTGTTCATTCTAGGGGAACAGATGGACCCTCCTGAGAGTCAGGTGGATTCAGATTTCTCCCAGCAAGGGACACCTTGCCTGATCATCGAAGACTCCCAACCTGAAAGCCAGGCTCAGGAAGATGATTCTGGTTCTCACTTTAGCGTGCTATCCAGGCACCTTCCCAATCTGCAGACCCACAAAGAGAGCCCTGGGCCGGTGAGTTGAAAATCCTTGATTGAGGATGATTGGATAGGATTTTTTCTTTTTCTTCTTTCTTTTGACTAGCCAGAAAGCATGGGTACATTGGATAGCTATAGCTTTTGGTTAGGATGTAGGAAATCGGGGAGCTTGTAGGGGTATGTTGCCCAGCAGTCTGCCTCTTAGTCCATTGTTGAGAACCAGAAGGTGGAGATATTGAAATCTGTTTGCTTTTTAGGATGTTGTGGCAGACCCTGAACAAACAGCTGGAGAAGAAAAAGGAGACAGTAACAATGAGTTCATGGAAGGCATGAAAGAACACAAATCTGCAGGTGAGGGAGTTCTGTTCTGTTGGATTTTTTTGCTTGTTGCTGCTAGGCCAATTAAAAATTAGAATGATATGCTTGTATATTAGCTTTAGGCATTGTGGCTATTTTTGTTGGAGTCTGAATTTGCTTGGGTTTGTGGGTAAGTGCCTTTTGTACTGAAGTCTAATTACTTATTTTTTTTTCCCTTTTACCCTATAATCCATAGATTCTTCTTCTTTGGACGCAGGAAATACCAGAAGTCAGATCATTGAACTTTTGCCTCAGCCCAGTAGGGAAAGCAGGTACATTGATGGTTTGATATTTATTTCAGTTTCTAAATTATCCTTTCTTATTTTCATTTTTTCTTTATACTTCCAGTACACATAGTAGGCATTTAGTAAAAATGCTTGTTGAATTGAATTCTTTTCTTACCTTAGACCTTAATCCCAGGAACAAAGAAATTAACCTAGGGACGTTTTAGACTTTCATGAACTGAGTAAGGAAATTTGTATTTGTTTTTCCAGTACAAGTAAAGTGAATTGTCTTTTGTGGAGCTAGTAACCATTCACATCTAACACTGTTCAAAGGTTGACCAAACTTAACCTGTTCATTATGAAATGAAACACATTCTCCCTATTAGATTTTTTTTCACATACTTAAGTATATGACTGGGTTTGGAGAGACTGTGTTCTGGAAGGGTGGTAAAAACTCTAAACAAAGCCTTGTTTTTTGTTTTTAATATGTATCTTATTTCTGAGGTCCTACCTATAGAATCAGGAAGACTTGGGTTGAGACCCCTGTCTGGTACATATAAATTGTGTGACCCTAAGGAATTTACATGATCTCTCAATGCTGTAGGCAACTCTCTGAAGAATATAAATTGCAGAAAAGATACCAACTTGCATTAATAGAAGGAATTTTCTCATTTAGGAAGTTTATTAATGAAATTGCAGGTCCAGTCATTTAACCCATCTTCTTTAAAAAAAAAAATTAATCAGACTCAAAGATGACAGAATTCTACAGGAGAATCCAATAGAAATTAAGAGAGGCCTAATCAAGATGTAGATGAAAGCAGGTTTTTTTCCACTGGATTTTAATAAAAATAGTTTTACTCTATATCTTTAGTACTTTACTTTTTAAGCATCATGATTCACTGGGACACTCATAAATGTGGAAAGCTTTTGGGAAATTTTATGAGATAGTAAAAAAGCAACTTTTTAAAATCATATTTAAAAATTTTGAGGAGCTTCATGAGGAAACATGGAATTTTGTTTTACTTTATTTTATCTATTTGAAAAATCTTTGAATAACTGAATGTCCTCAAATTAGTATCTCCTCCTTTTATGGTTCATCCTTCTCCTCCCTTCCTATTATCTTTAACACAGTCTTATAGTTTAAAAAAAATTCTGCTTGCAGATTTTTTTATCTTTGGACATGAATTTTCATTTCCCTGGTTTTGTTTTTTTATTTGAGGTTTTATTGCCCCAGAATTTTTCAGGTATATTTCTGTGCTTTACCTTTCTGAAAATCCTTATTTGATATTTTTTTCATTGTGTAGATTATGTCGACTCTCCAAATTTATATTACTCTTTTTTAACACAGAAAGTTACAGCTTTGTCACTTGAATCACCACAGAAGTACTCTGGTTCTATACTGTATTCATTCTTGGATCTGGCACTAAAATAAAATCTCCATGAGTTTTCTCCTGTTTCACAGATTGACTTTTTCACTGTATTTGTGCTTATACAGGCCGTCTCTGTCTAGTTCTCAAAAATCTTTTCACCTGGAAGACAAGATTTTTATTTAGATTACTCATACTGATTTTCAATCCTCTTTTCATGCTCATTCTAAGGAAATATTATTAGCTCATGTGTCTTTATAGTGTCTATCTCTTGATTCTATACAGTGTGGTTTTTTTTTTTTTGAGTATTTATTGGCTTCCTGCAGAAAGTGGCAGTGAAGGGAAATATTTTTTATTTTCTCCAATTTGCTTAATGGACATTGGCAAGTAGAGAGACTGAATTCAAAGAATACTTTGTGTAGAGTTTGTTCTGATGTATTTTATGTCACTTCACTGATAATTTCAGCAGCATCCTTGGGATAACAGTAGTGGCTGATTCTACTGCAGAGGAAGAGGAGAAGGAAGAAGATCCTGCAGATTGTACTACGCATTCGGTTGGTGCTGAAGGTAACCTTCTGAATTTTTCAGAGCAGTAAATTAAGTTCTTCTTATATGAACTTCAAAAGTCTGTAGTTTTCTCTCTTCGATTAGATTAGATATCTCATCAGGTGTTTTGTTAGCTTTGGATTGGGAGTGATGATTACAAAAATTTACTCTTTGTAGATATTCTATCTAATACTGCATTTAGGAATTACTATCTTATTGCATTTATTGTGTTGAGTGTTAATTCATTCCTTCAACTCTTTTTCTTCTTGAAAATTTTCTGGGGGGCATGCTTTGTAAGATATCAGTTGCTGGGAGTTGGGTGAGCAGAGATATGATTGTTTAGGGTATTAGAGTTATTAGGGTTTTTTCACTAACAAGTCTTGTCTTAGATTTTTACATAAGATAGTTTTTCTTTTATGACTTTTATGGTGCTTTTATTTTTGTTATTTTGGTTGAGTTGAGGAAAATCTATCTGTCAGGAATGAGTTGTGATCCAGTAGACTTGATAGTCTCCCTTTTGCATAGTGTGGCCACTTATATAATGAATGCATGATATCTTGGGATGATGTATGATTTTGGGGTATTGGGTCCTATAGATACTGGTTCATCACAGTTGGGCTTTGGGGCCTTGGAGCTCTCACAGAGCCAGGATGTTGAGGAGCAAACTATACCATATGAAGAAGACAAAGAACAACAGCTGCAGCCAGAAACCAAGGAGTCTAATCCTCTCAACCTCTCTAATGTAGATGCAAATATCGGTATGTAACAAGTTCCCTGGGGGTTGGCACTGTTATAAAACTGTTTCCCTCCACATCAGATGTTATTTTCTTTGACAGTGGTTATTCTTCCTATTTTTGCCCTTTTAAACAAGTTTTATCTCTGCCCAAAGTGAGGTTCAAATTATTGCTAGCATCATGCTAGGTAGTACTGGAGCACTAATCTTATACAAATTGAGTCCTGTTGAAGTGTGTTGTATTAGTGGTTCCATTATTGGAATGCAGTCATGCTTCAAAACCTTGATACTGGGTGAAATAATATTACTAGGGGTGGTTGGTTACATAGGAACAATGTTATAAATATTATACATTGATAATCAGCTGAATAATCTTACAGCAGGATTTATCAGTATTCTGGTAGGATTCAATTAAAATGCATTATTATTGGTATTGTGTGAAGTGACATTGATCAGGACAAACCTTTTTGGCTTTTATCTATTATGCCCATGCACACTTCGAATTAGTCTGCTTTCCAGGAAAATCTTTATATTTTCTGTTTCGTTTCTTCTGACACACTGGGCATCTCTCTTCTCTTTTTCTTTCTTCCCCTGACAACATAAATTCATTTACTCCTAGAACCTGAAGAGGATAAACACGAAGATCATTCCATTGAAGATATACAAGTGGCAGTCCAGCAAGACACAGAGTCTGAGAGGTAACAGGAACTTTTATTTCTAAAGGGTTTTTAATCTTGTCTGACAGGGTTTGTGGTAATTTCATTTCACTAAGAAAAAAATTTAAAAATTTTAAAGTTTTCTTCATACTTTTAGTATTTCAGAGCCACAAGAAGCACTTTTTAGTATTCACAGCATTGTCAGTGGTCCTTACCTTGTATCTTGTAGCATATTATGAGGTGATACCATTTTGCATGCAAAACAAAAACCTAAACTTTTAGAGTCTCTCTTTTGAGTTGCTGTAATTTTTTTTTAACTCTGGTTTATCATACACTATCAGGGGATCAAGCCATTTTTAGAGTATAGGAACTTCATTTGGCTTTTAGGGTTGACAGTAGATTTTTAGTCACCTAACCCTGTTGCCATTCCGAGCATGACTTGATGATCTGTGTCTCCAACTTCTTTCCACCCTGACTATTGCTGCATATAGGCAAGTATATACTTTGGGAGATTTGGAGTATACTTTGGTATATTATGAAGCATTGGGCCTTTGCTGCATATGAAAGCATACCTTTTCTGTACCCCAAGAGACTCCCAGTTACCTTTTGATTCTCAGCTTCCCTTTAGACTGACAGTTTCTGGGCAGATTACAAGGATGTATACACTTTCTGAGATCTGTGGTAAATTTTGGACTCCAATCTTAACTAGGTAAGGTTAGAGTTAGGAAATGTTCCATGCCCTGTCTACCATGATTGTTGGGACCATAACATCTATACTTTTGGCTAGCAGGAGCTTGCATATACTTGGAAATAATGGGAATAATAATAGTTGGAGAGATGGGCCTGTAAAAACTTGCATTTTCAGAGAGAGAGCGAGAGAGAGTGTGTGTGCGAGAGAGCGACTGCACAAAAACTAGTAAGAGCTTGAACCAGAGAGAAGCTGCATTTTGTAGAGGAAAGCTTTTGGAATAATAGAATTTTTCTTTGGGCTTTGCTCAGAAAGTTATGTTCTAACAAGTTCTGTTGTAGGTTAGTTTGGGGACTAAAGGCCTTGGAAACTGGCAAGATCCAGTGGTCACAACATAAAGGAGTCAGTGCAGTAAGCTATGAAGAAAGAGGAAGAGAACCTGCTTTAGGAGAACTTTGGGCATGTGTGTGATAGGTAAGATGGGAAGGAATCAACAGAAGGTAGCATAAGTGGCTGTAGAAAGGAGCCAGAGGATACTTTAGTAGCAGGACTTTTTTAAAAAAGTAAGTTTTTGTTGATATTTTCTATTTCTGACATCACGGTGGTTATCCTATGTATCCTTCCTCCTGCCCCTCCCAGAGAACCAACCCATAACTTATTGATACATTGAAAAAGTTTGAAAATGCCTGTGGGCCTCCCATCTTCATGAAGCATTGGGTTGGGAGTGTCTTCTCATATCTCTTCATTTGAGTCCTGTTTGATCTTGATAGTTTTGTTACATTCGATTTTTTGGTGTGTCATTGTTCTTTCCATTTACATTGTTGTAGTTACTGCATGTATTGTTTTCTTGGCTCTGCTTACTTCACTCTGCATGGATTCATTTAGATCTTTCCATGCTTCTGTGTACAGTATTCATCACACACATCATTTTTTACAGCACATTAGTATTCCATCGTATTCGTATGCCACAATTTGTTTAGCCATCCCCCAATCAATGGACATTACTTTGTTTCTAATTCTTAGCTGTCACAAACAGTGATGAGTAGCAGCATTTATAACAGAGACTCACTTCTAGAATTAAGTAGAAGTTACTTCTACTCCAGTTAGCAGTTATTACGTATCTACTATATGTTCTGTCCTGAGGATAAAATAGTAAAAGCAAGATAATCCCTGCTTTCAGTGACTTTACTGGAGGAATACAGCTTAGAAAGAGATAAGTAAAGCTAAGGTAATTTGAGAAAGGAGAGAGCACTGAAATTGGAAGGTGTCATGAAAGAGCTTATAGGAGGTAGCACCTGAGGTGTGAGCCTTGGAGGAACATAAGGATTTTAAGAGGCAGAGGTGAAGATGGAATGGGTTTCAGGCATGGTGAATGTGTGGAGATGGAAGATAGAATACCAACTTTAGGGGACAGCTAACAGGCCGAATTTGTAGGAACGTAGCTTTGTAAGAAGGGAGTAATGTGAAGTTAATCTGGAAAGGTAGGTTGGAACAGGACTGTGGATGTCTGTAAAAGCCAAGCCAAAGAGCTTATATTTATCCTAGAGGCAGTAAGAAACCTGTAAAGGTTTTTGAGCAGGGGATAGCATGATCAGAACTATGCCTTAGTTTATTGTAGCAGCCTCATGGTTAGAGGATGATGTGAAGAAGAGAAGCACTAGAAGCTGAGGACCAGCTGGGTCTTCAGTTGGCTGTTGAAATCAGGCAATAGAGGATGAGGGCTTTTGGACTGGGTAGCTGCATAGGTGGTAAATGGGCAGATGAAAGAGATTTTGTGGACATAGGCCTGATAAGGCTTGGCAACTGATTGGATATTGGTGTTGAGGGAGAGGGAGAAATTTGTAGTTGTGAGACTCGGTAACTAAAAGGATGGTGTACCATTAAAAGAAATAGGGGAAATTCAGTTTTGGATCTGTTGAGTTTGAGATGCCAGTGGGATGCCGAGCCAGACAGGGATGTGTAGTGGGCTGTTGGCAGTGCAGGGCTGGAGTACAGAAGAATGGCGAGGACAGAATTTTTGCTTTCTGAGTTCGTTGTGTGTAGATGATGATTGAATTTGTGAGAGCAGAAGAAAGCCCTGTCAGAGTGTAAGTCAGAGAAGAGAAAAGGACACTTCTGGGATCACAGTTGCAAATTGTTGTCACTGTAATACAGATGTGGAATGCTTGTCCCATCTCTGTTTAACAGCAAACGTAATGGTAAGTGATCTTTTCTCCCAGACGAAACTATACATAAAATATGACAGTAGCCAGCAGAGGTGAACGGAGATTTCCTAATTAAGCTGTCCTATGAGAGATTGTATGAAAGGTGTCGAAACTAGGGCCAGGTGGGTGATGTAGGCTTTCTCCAGGTGAACTGTTGCCCTCTGTAGAAGCATTTTAATGTTTTCATCTACTTGTATGCTAGTAGTTAAAAAACAGCTTGGTGAAGTGGATAAAATCCTTCAAGTCTTGCCTCAGATCCGTACTGTCTGTATGACTGGGCAAGTCACTTAACTCCCAGTATCCTAGGAAGTTTCTCTAAGACTATTAGATGTTAGAACAGCTACCCATCTGCATTGGTAGAGGGAATTTCCTCCCTGAAAGCTCCCTTTACCAGTGAAATCCCAGGTCCAGGCAGAGGCTCTAGTAAATGCAGCTTTAAGAGGAGCTATACTCCTTATAGGGAATATATTGTTTACATGTCTAGGAATTAACATTTTTTTTTACTTGGATGTTTTAATAAAAAGTTGAAATATTTGAATTTAGAAATTATTTTATTGATCTGAATTTTGCAGGTCAGAGAATATGCCTTCTATTCCACAAATACCTCTTACCTATATGGAAGCCAAGATCCAACTTTCTGCCCAGGAACTGCTGGAAGGTGAATTGCAAGTTCAGAAATCACCTGAGTCTGAGATTTTGTCAACCCAGGAAGACATGTTTGAGCAGAGTAGTAGAACAGGTATGCTTAGTACCTTTCCCTTATTTTTAAGGCAGGGTGGTACAGGGGAGAGAGTACTAGGTTTGGAGGCCTGAACATCTTAACTCAACTCCTTATTGACACATAATAGCTATATGAACCTGGATAAGTCAGGTAACTCTCTGCCTGTCTCAATTGACTCCCTGTGACTTACCTACCAAATCACAGATGAATTGTTGGGGGAGAGATTTCCTATACTGGAAGTTGCCCATGAAGACAAAATCACAGATCCCTTTGTGTGTTTGCTTACATTTTCCTCAAGATACACGCTTATAGTATTTCTGTGCTAATACTATATCATTTTCAGTAGAGATACTGATACAAGATGGGAGAAACACTGATTTTAAAGGAGTTGTAGATTAGATTGGGAATATTTGTTAAAGAGACTTTGATTCAAGAAAAATCATTCTGAAAGAAAGTGTTTTCTTAGCTAAACATTGAGGACTTTCTAGATAATTATTACTGTTAATTTTTATGGCACTTGATATACTGTTTATGGGTATCTGTATAATATACATGTGTATATAAGCACTTATTTAGGCAGTCTACTTGTTCTAATATTATCACCATAACAACATTCGACATTGAAGGAAATTGAGGTTTAGTTTTTTTGGCTAGGTAGTGGGGTTAAGTGACTTGCCCAGGGTCATACAGCTAGTAAGTGTTAAGTGTCTTGAGACTGGATTTCAACTCAGGTCCTCTTGAGTCCAGGGTTGGTGCTGTATCCACTGTGCCACCTTGCTGCCCTGACGTTTAGTTTTAAGAAAGTGTCAGAACTGAGATTGTCGGTAACTGTGCAAAGTATCAGTTGCTTGAGTTCTGAATTCCATGGTGGTTGGCTCAGTGAATCACTTTACTTTCAACTCAGTGGTCTCTCAGTGATCTGAGGTGAAATGAAAAGAGGGTTTCTGATTATACAAAGACTATTCTTTATGTGTCCTCATACCTAAATATGGAGCAGAAGGCATTTGAGAACCTGGTGTGTAGCAGCAATAGTCAACCAGCCTCTTTTGAGTAAATCTATGCTGTGGGAGATAAGACTGATGTCTGGTTATAAATCCCACAGTAGCTGTCTGTACATGTTATCAAGAAGCTTCTCAAGAATTAACTGAATTTAGTGCCCTTGCTAGCTCTCTAAAAATTTAGGATAGTGGATTTACATACACATTTTGGTTTCTGAAGTTTCTAGTGTCATTTCATGTCTCACATTAGTCCTCTGATAACTTAAAAAAAGGGGAAGAAAAGGCTGCAGTTCTTTTTGTTGACATCACCACTGCCAAAGTTTTATAGTTTACTGTCCCAGCAGATTTTCAAGTCTGGAAGAGAAAAGATCATAGGATCCTAACTTTAGAGGTGGAAGGAATCTTCGAGTTTTATTTAGTCCAACCACTTTATTTTATCCTCTTTATTTTATAGATGATGAAACTGAAGCTGAGACACATTAAGTGGCTTGAACCCAGGTCCTTTAACTCCAAATTCATGGCTTCTAAAATGTGATTTGAAGCAGTTATATAAGGGTCTTCGTATGCTTGCCAGTTGAAAACTCCATTTTGTTTTGGACAAAGTGGCTTAGTTACTCTGAAGGCAAATAAATAATTTAGGGTAATATAGCAGTCTAAAAATGCTTTGTAGTTCTTTAATTTATCTTTGCAGCAGCCCTGTGAGGTAATTAAGTGGCAAATGTTGGGCTCTTCCTTTCTGAAACATTGAAGCATGATGGGTCAATTTCTCACAGTGATAAAAGTGAATTTAGGGCAAGAGGATTAGGTGTGCTGCATCTCTTTTATTTACATTTACTAATAGAGGTCTCACACCTGGGATATTATAATGCTTTAAAATTTCTCATCTGTAATAGGGACTAAGTATGTTTCTATCCTAAGGGTAGTTTTTAGAAAGAGTGTGTGTGGCTGCTACAAATCTGTTGCTACTTTGTATCGGAAACAGAAGAAACCAAAAACAGTAGGACCAAAGGTAGAAATTTTGCTCTCTCTTCCCCTAAGCCAAGAGACCCTGAGTTGAAGGTTAGAGAAAATTTATCCTCGTCTCTCTTTGATTCTTTGTCAAGAGACCTTTATTAATATATATGTGTTTTTAATATCATGCCTAGTCTTGTGTTATATTGGGATTGCAATGTTTATACTTTAGTTTTTAAAAAAAATTATTTTTTAGAATTTTGAGTTATAAATTCTCTCCTTTCCTCTCATACCACCCACCCAAATTCATTGAGAAGGCAAGCAATATGATATCAGTTATACATGTGAAATCTTGCAAAACATTTCTGTATCAGTCATATTGTGCAAAAAAAAAGGGGCATGAAAAATGAAGAAAGTATTGATCAGAGTAGCTATATCTTTCACAATTTATCATCATTACAATATTGCAATTACAATATTACTGTGTACAATGATCTTCTGGTTCTTCTCACTTCAGCCTGTATCAGTTCATGTAGGTCTTCTCATGCTTGAAACATCACCCTCATCATTTCTTGTAGCACAGTATTACTCTATCGCAATCATATTATGCTTTAGCCGTTAAAATAATTCCTGCCATAAGGAACATAAATTAGAAATCAGAATTATTATTATTTTTCACAGCACTAAGAGTGGCCTTCTGAAATTTCAGTTCTGTTTGTCTGAGAAACTTAACTAGGTATCTTTCCTTTTCCTGCCTAGCTCCTGATACTTGCCCTGCTCCAAACATGGAAGATGGGTATTCGTTGGCTTCCACACCAGCTACCACTTTGAAACTTCTGCATCTCTCTGGCCAAGGTTCTCTTATGCAGGAGAGTGCCACTACGTAAGTAGTCGGAAATTGTCTTGATGGGGAAACCCATGCGTGAGGGTCAATGGTGAGAAAAGGTTAGCATCCTTTTACATACTTAAAAAAGTTTAAAGTCTGCCTTCCCATTTGAGGGTATTGCTAGTGTTTGTGTGAATCCAGAGATCGTACCTGCTGAATGGGAATCTTTTATTCATTTTCACCCTCATAATAGTATAAAGACAAAGAAGAGTTTTTATAAACATCTACAGCGTTTTCTAATTCTTTGAACAAAAGCTTCACATTCTTAGTTGGTAAATAGACATTTTAGCAGTAGTTTGTGCTTTTCAGGTCTAGTGTCTTTATGTCTAGGTCACTTACTCTCTCTTGCTTACATTCCTGTTTGTTTATTATGTCTTCTGAAATGTTTGAAATGGGAAAGAATTACCATGCTAAGAGTATTCTCAGTGTTGTTTGCTTCAGGTTAGGTGTTTGTGCTGTTAGGAAAAAAAAACTATGATTGTTAATAAAGTAACTTGTTAACTTTCTGTATATAGGAGTTCACCAGATGTTGTTGCTCCTTCACCAGATGCTTTCCAACCTACCCCTTTTATTGTCCCTAGCAGTCCAACAGAGCAAGAAGAAGTAAAAGGTGAGAACTTTTATTTACGTACTTTTATCCCAAAATAGTTTTAGATTAAAAAAAGGGATGTAAACCTTTGCAGTGCTAGAGTTTTTAAATTTCCATGTAGCTGCCAGGAGGCTACAGTTTAATTCATATTCATTCTATCAGTCAACAGATCTTTAAGCCAGGTTTTTTGTCAGGCATTAGGACTACACAGATAAAAATGAAACATACCCTGCCCTCAAGGAGCTTACATGCAATTCAGGGAGACAAAATGTACATTTATATGTATGTACAAAATAAATTCATCTATCGGGGACATGACCTACTTGCAGTGCTTACTTCAGTTCTTTGCCTTTCTAGCACTCATCGTTCTTCTGATAGTCTACATTATTAAAATGAAACATGAACTGGATGAAAAAACTTAGTTTGAAAAATAATTAAAATTAAAAATAACTGTAGTTTTAGAAATAATTAAAATTTAAATAAAAATCATTAAAATTAAAATTTTAAGATAATAAAACCAAGCTAAGCTTACTACCACAGGTATACCATATTCACAGATATGTGAATATATTACACAAGAAGTGTTCTTCTTGACTTCTTTGGGATCTTAATACTGCTATTAGGATTATCTTGTTTTGCAAAAGGGTCATCCAGAGAAAGTAGAAGGACTTCTTGATTAATTCATTACCATCCTTGAAGACTTAAGAGTGACTCTGAATATTTTTATTCATTAGGACTACAGTTTTTGAGGTCTTTCCTCCTCAGTGTTTAAGGTCTTTCACTAGGTTACACTGTGCTATCCTGATTTTCTTTATTTTCCTTTACTGCCCTGGCTTGTTTTACTGTTTCTCATGAGCAAAAGCTTTTGTTTCTTTCTGTCTCATACTATTATTTCATTTCCTTCTCTAAGCCCAACATCTTGCCAAGCTCCTACCCTTCTAGCATTCAAATTGCTCCTGAAATCCCACCACCTCCACAAGTTTTCTTCTGATAAATTAGAAGGTAGGATTTTCACCTTTCACCTTCACCTTAGAATTATAGGATTTGATAATAATAATAGTTAACATTTATATAGTGCTTTAAATTTTACAAAGTGCCTTACTTAATGAGTTACCTCATTGATAAATTATTTCTTTTATTGTAGAGCTAGAAGGGACCTAAGAGATAGTATAGGCCAACCTCATTTCACATGTGAGGAACCTGAAGCTCAGAAAGGTCAAGTGATTTGCCCAGGCTCTTTCCAGGGTCCATTTCTTTGTTTTCTTGATGGTTGTCAGCTTCCATCAGTTCAGTTATCATTTTTATGCAAATGACTCCTAAATCTGCGTGGTCCTCATCTCTCTCCTGAGCTCCATTCTGGCTCCAGCTGCCTTCTAGACAGTTCCACTGGATGCCTCATGTTCATCTCAAGCTCAACATGTCTCAAACAGATCTTATTATCTTTTCTCGTAAACCCATTCTTTCTGACTTCTCTATTTCATTTGAGAGATTTACTAATAGTTATCCTTGACTCGTCACTCTCCCAACCCCATCCTCTATCAACTCATTTGCCAAATCTGATTGATTCTACTTCCACATCATTTCTCATGTCTATTCGTTCTCTCTACTTAGACAACAGCAACTGTGATTTACTGATCATTACCTTCATCACTTCATGCTTTGACTATTACAGTAGTCTTTAAAAAATTTTTTAACTCAGTTTTATTTTGAATTCTGAATTCTGTTTTTTATCTCTACTTCCCAGTTCATTGAGAAAGCAAGAAAAACAAAACCATTACAGACATGTATAGTCAAGCAAAACAAATTCCTGCACTATCTATGTCATTAAAAAATAATGCTTCACTCTGTGCTCTGAGTCTGTCATCTTTGTGGAGGTGGTTTGTGTGGTTCGTCATGAGTCCTCTAGAACTATGGTTGGTTCCATTGTCTTGATCAGAGTCCCTAAGTCTTTCACAGTTGTTTGTCTGTACTGCAATAGCTGTATAATTAATCTTCCTTCATCTAATATTTCCCCTCTTCAATCCATCTTCCATATAGCCACTAAATCAATATTCCTAAAGCATAGGCCTGACCGTGTAATTTCCCCGTTCAGTGAGCTTCAGTGGCTCCATGTTGCTCCTCTGGCATTTAAACCCCTTTCCAGATTGATTACACTGTACTTCTCTTTACTTACTCTTTATTTCAGCCAAACTGGCCTACTTCTCATTCCTCATCTGCAACATTAAGTTTCTTGTCTCAAAGCCTTTGCGGAGGCTGTCTCTTCCATAACTAGAATGCTTTTCTTCCTCCCTGCCTCTTTGAACCCTAATCACTTTAATGGCTTCTGGGTAATGCCACCTCTTCTAAAAAGCCTGTCATGATTTCTTCCCCAGTTATTCCGGTCCCACAGCCAAAATTACTTTGTGTTTATTTGTGTATGTTTTGTGTTTATTCACCTTTGTACATGTTGTTTTACCCTAGTAAAATGTAAGCTCCATGATGATTTCGTTTTTTCCTTGTAGCCCCAGAGGTTAGCATAGTGCCTGGCCCATAATATGTGCTTAATAAATGCTTGTTGAATTTAATTGAATTGCGGGGATTTTGAAACCAGGTATCCTAACTTTAAATTCAGGATTTGATTCCATGGCCCCTTCTTTAGGTATGAGGCTAATGTTAGAACTATGCTAGGCATTCTTTTTTTAAAATGTTTTTTAAAAAATTGTAAACTTAACCATCAACAAATCAAGATATAATTTACACAAGCAAGAATTTTAAAAAAACTTTGTACATTAAATCTTAGACTTTTGTTATTTATAATTTCAAGAAAAGTCTTATTTCCTTCTGACTTTTTTTCTTTCTTGGGTGTTTTTCTAGATTTTGTTGCTGCTATACTTTTTATTTATAACTTTGCAAACTTGTGTATATCTTGCTTTCATTTTTCTGTCTTCTAGCACTAGTTTATTTCCTCATATTTCTTTGTAGTCTTGGTAGTTGTCATTTCTCATATCATGGGATAGCGGACAGAGTCCTGGACTTGGGTTCAGATGTCGCCTGAAGCAGTTGCTGGCTGGGTGATGATGGGCAGGTCACTTAAACTCCTTGAGCTTCAGTTTCTTCATCCATAAAATTGGGATGGTAATTGTAGTAACTAACCACTTAACAGGGTTGTTGTGAGGCTTAAATGAGTTAGGATAGGAAGTGCATAGAAAATTCTAAAGTATTATATAAAAATTTCAGTTGTTATCATGGGATAATATTCCATTCTAATTCATATACTACAGTTTGTTCGGCCATGCTTCAGTTGTGGGTTCTTTCCAGTTTTTAGCTGTTTACAAATATTGCTACTTGGAATGTTTTTGTTTAGAGAGGTCTTTCCTCTCCATTTAATAACATCCTTAGCATATAGGCCTGGTAGAGGAATCATTGGGTCAGAGGGTATTAACAGCTTTATAGCTCTTATTGTATAATTCCATATCCTTTTCAGAAAAATTGCTGTAATTCATGACTTGACAAGTGGTGTAAGAAAATGTTTTTTCTACAGCCCCACCAGGATTGAGTTGTATAGTTTAATTGTCTTTTGCAGTTGAGTGGTTCAGTGGTCTTTCATTTGTTTTAATTTGCATTTCTCTTATTTTTTAAGAGTTTGAACAGTCATATAGTTATTGATAATTTTAATTATTTCAAGTACTGCATGTTTCTGTTTTTTGATCAATTACCCATGGAAATGTGGCTCTTAAGTTTAAAAAATGTTTGTGTATTCTTTATTGCTTTTAAATTTAAGACTTTTATCATAATTATTGACCTTTATGTAGTGCTTTGCCTATAGTATGTATTATAGATATCCTCCCCATTTAAAAATGAGTGCAATGAGACTCAGAGAAGTTAAGTGATTTATCCGAAGTTATATATAAAACATCAGAGGCATGATTTGAATCCAGGTCTTCTTTTGATTCCAACTTTAATACCCTTCCCACTACATTATAATACCTGTCTCATATTGGAAATATCTACCACAAAGATTTTTTTTCCTAGTTTGTTTTTTTTCTTTTATTCTGAATGTGTAGTTGTAAATTAATTTTGGAACATCTAAACCACTGCTTTCCATATTGTGTGTTCAGTCAAGAATTGATAGCATTTAAAATGTATTCATTTGGTGTTTGTGTATTTTTTATTGATACTTAATCGCTTTTTCTGTTTATCTGTGTCATTATCTGTCTTAGTGTATAATTGTGTCAATATGGCTTTCTTCATGTAGGACCTGAACAATGCTTCATATACATAGGATACGAAATTTGATAAATTTGTGTATAGAATTTATATATAATTTGATACTTTTTTAAATGATAATAAAGACAAAAAAAGAAAATGCTCTACAATATATAGTGACAATACTGTCACATAGGCTACATTTCAGTTCCTGTTCTCTGGAGCACTAAGTTGAAATGCGAGGAAAGGTACTCTTGGTTCGGGAGGGTAGGGAAGAGAAACAATTTCCCAGACTTCACATCCCATCACCTGCCTGGCATTTATTTGAACAAGTTTACCCTATTCTTGGAATATGCTTAGTACTGTCTCTACTTTTCAGAATCTTCGTTTTCCTTTAAAACTCATTTTAGTTGCTTCCTTCTCTGAAATTTTATCAGAAAAATATTAGTACAGTGTTCTCCCCTTCCTTTATTACTTCCTTTTACCCTCTTACCCCTCAGCATACATTCCTACTAAGTCTCTGGCTATAGCCTCTATATCACTATGAAGTGGGTAATGGTAGACTTTGTTCCAAAATTTGTGGCACCAATTATGTGTTACTTGTTTGCGCAGTATTTGAAAAAGGACTTGTAAGGGATCTAATAGAATCCTCTCTAGATTTTATAGTAATAATATTATTTTTAAAAAATTTATTTATTTTTAGTTTTCACCATTCACTTTTATAAGATTGAGTTCTAAATTTTTCCCTTTCCCTCCCCTACCTCCTCCTTAAGATGGCATGCAGTCTGATATAAACTGTACTTGTACAGTCATATTAAACATATTTCCACATTAGT